TTCTCTGAAGAAGGGTCCAGACCTGAAACGTCAGCTTTCTTGCTCCTCTGATGCTGCCTGGCCTGCTGTGTTCATCCAGCACTACACCTTGTTATCTCAGATTCTCCAGCATCTGCAGTTCCTACTATCTCTGAATTGATTTTCACCAGTGCTTTTTAGAGAAAGAATCTGCTCTCTTTCGCAGTCTGGCCACATGTGAATCCAGATCCATGGTGACTGACTCTCACTTATCCTCAGTTAAGGGATGGTCACCAAATATTGGCTTTGTCTGAGACACATACGGTGTATTAAAGGGTTTCTTTAAAAAAGGAACACATCTATAACATTATCAGGTCATCCCAAAATGTCAACAAAGTCATTGTTCCTGCCTGCTGTTGGAGTGTATGATATATAGCTTCTAATTTTGTGCATAGCAAGATCCTAGGAACATAACTGACGAGATTTTAAAAAGATATAGTGTCTGTAGAAGGTTTCTTGAGAGCAGGGGAGACACAGGGGGATCTGTTGGAGGTATATAAGGTCATGAGGGGTAAGGACAGTGTGAACAGATAGCAGCTGTTCCCCTCAGCTGAAGGGTCAATAACGAGGGGGCATAATTTTAAGGAGAAGGGTAGGACGTTTAGAGGGGATTTCAGGAAAATGTGTTTCACCCAGTGGGTGGTGGGAATCTGAAATGCACAGCCTGGGGGGGTAGCTCAGGCAGGAAATCTCACAACCTTTAAAAAACATTTGGGTGCGCACTCGTAATGAATTAACGTTCGAGGCTATGGGCCAAGTGCTGGAAAGGGACAATAGTGTGGATGGGTTGGGGCAGACTACATGGGCCACTGTTTGATTCTAAGGCTTATCATGGGTTCACGCTTTCACCCTGGGTCTTTCCTCTCTCAATACTGCATGGGAAGGGGTTGGTGAGGGAGTGTCAGCTGTATACTTGAGGTCCTGAGCAAGCCTTGAGCTCACAGCCTTCCGCCTGAGGGACTAGCTAGTGGAGCAGCGCCGCCTGCTTATATTTGAGATCGACTCGTGTTCGGTGGAATACGGTAGGGACTTTCCAAGCTGTGTTAGCACTAACTTCCTCCTCAGCACTGGCTGAGAGGCAATTTAAAAAAAAATCCCCAGATCAACCTGCGCATATAGCTCTGTCTCAGCTCCGGAGTGAAGTCTCCTGTGCTGTAGGTAGCTCAGCTCAGCTCAGTTTTAGTGGAGACTGTCTCATCATGTCAGCCGACGAGCAGCAGAACGCTTTGTTGAATAATTCACAGCAAGATATTGTTAGCCACACCAGTATGGAAGCCAGGACTACTGTTACCGGCCAGAGGTAAGATTAGATCATGGACAACCCTTCTGTTTTAACATCTATAAGAAAATCTTTGTGGAATTGTTTGCTGGTGAGACATTGAAAAGATATGCTTTCTGGAGGGACTCTAGCTATGCAGAGAGAAGTGGAGTTAATATTTCTAGTCTGGTATAACTTCAAAACTCAGATCTAGGTACTATGTCCTGAAAAAGAATTAAATCAGGCTGGAAATATTAACTGCCTCTCTCTCTCTCTCATGATGCCATGGGTATCTCCAGCATTTTCTGCATCTTTTTCAGATTTCCACCCTCTGGAGTGTTTTACCTTTTTATTTGCTGCTGCTTAGTGGAGCCTCATGCGTGAGAGGTGCGCAGTCTGTGAAACCTCCTGAGGATGTTGTAGGGTTAGCTTTATTTTCTTTGCGGGGAATTGTCTTTCTATTTCTTAAAACAATCAGGCTTTGCCAGCATTTGTTGGTAGTCCCTAATTGTCACTTGAGCAGATGGTAGTGAGCTGCCTTCTTGAAGCACCGCAGTCCTGGGGATAGAGGTAAAGTGGGGGGAATTCCAAGATTTTGACCCAGTGACAATGTGGAATTGTGATATAGTTCCAAATCGGGATGGTGTGTTCCACTGCAGAAGATTAAGGCACTTTTAAAACAAAACTCTGCCTTCTGTGGTAAATGTAGCTGATCATTAAAGGAACAGGGGAGTGGTCCCCAGTGACAAAATTAGAAGTTGCTGGAAAAGCTCAGCAGGTTTGGCAAAATCTGTGGAGAGAAAGCAGAGTTAATGTTTCGGGTTGAGTGACCCTTCCTCAGAATTGTGACATTTTTGTGCGAAATGAACCATTTTCTCTTTAATGTCACTACGTGGAACGTGTAACAGCTGCTCAGATCCAGAATCTCAATAGTTCTAGCTGGGATCTGAATGTAGATTTTTGCTCACTTTTCTTATGCACCTGTGCATTATTTTCTTTGTATTTTAGAGCCAATTGTCTTGGTCAAATTATCACTCAACCAACATCGCACACAATTTAAAAAAAAAAACGTGATTTGGTCATTTTATTAGATTATTGTTTGTCGAATCTTGCTCTGCAATCTGTGGCTGTATTTTCTACATTACTAACTTTAAAAGGACTTCATAAAATTCATTCTACGTTTGCAAATCTTTCTCCTCTAACCTTTAATTCTTGTATCTTTATATATTGCAAACCCGGCGAAGTTATGCCAGATTCTGGGAGCAAGCGTCAGTTTTCTTTGGATGGTTCAGTCTCTACACAATGGCAGCTCGACTCTTTTGTGTGAAATGAACCATTCTCTCTGTTTAATGTCTGCACAGGGGACTTAACAGCAGCTCGATCAGAATCTAAACAGTTCTAGCTGGGATCTGAGTTTAGATTTTTTTTTTGTTTGTTTTTCTTAGGCAGCTGTATATTTCTTTTATTGTATTTTAAACTTTGGAGTCCTTTGAAGCCTGTCAGATCTTACTCTGTTCCCTGAAGCTAGATCTCTGCCTTTCAAAAACATCAAACCAGCCATGTAGAAAAGAGAGTCTCTTAAAACAAAAATGTTGATGCGGCTCAGTGCAACCGGGGTTTCCCCCACCCCCCCCCCAAAAAAGGTTTGGCTCTTAGTGTTATTATTTGCCAATTTTAAACAGGATTGCCAACATCACTGAACAACACTCAGACCCACAAACAATCACTCCACCAGGAGTAGCTATTGAGCCACGAATTGCTGCTGATTTAGTGCAGATTTTGCCTGTTCAGCCAGGCTGTTGTTCATGGTTTGAGGACTCCAAATCTTGTCTTCATCTGCTCACTTATACATCCTCCCCAACTCTTGGGTAGAGCATTCTTTTTCTTTATTTGTGACCATGGTTGAGAGACGTTGCAAGTGAATTCAGTTCTGAAAGTAAGCAGAAGGAACAAAAAGTGAATTTTTTCCAGAGGGGAAAAGCCAGTTTTAAAATCCTAGCAATAAAGTATTTGCTCCTTAGTTCCAGAGTACTGGCCTCCAGCACTCTGTGTGTTTGTACCGAAGCTCCATTCTGAACTGCAGAAGACAGTCGGACCAGTTTGTCCCGTTCACCACATTTTTGTTTGGCTTTTCTTTCTAGGATGGAAATGACTGATTTTGGTTTGGATCTCGACTGTATACCTTCAGCTGGGACTCCCATTCAGCACATGCCATATGCAATGCACTCACCATACTCACACACACTAACACTCAGAGACATAGGCATTCACACACTAACCCTCACACACACACACATGAATATGTACTTGCCCATTGCACATGCACAAACAGTTGTGCAGAAATGCACAGATGCCCACACGGATACAGAACACCCACACACAAAGCACATGCCTTGTGGGCATTGGCCGGGAACAGGATCTTTAGCTATATTTGAATTTTTCTCCTAACTCCAGAGTATCACTGAGCTCTTTTTTTTTTGTATCTTTTTTAATTTTCTGGGTGCGAAATACTTTCAGTCATGTTTTGAGCTGCTATGAGTTTGAACCAGGTACAAAGGATAATGTCTGGATTCAACTGGTGTTGAAAAGTTTACATGTTTAAACAAGTGTTTCCTTTGAAGGACTTATTGTCAAACAAGATCTGGATGGATCTTGGTACATACATTCACCATTGTCTAGGAAGGGATTTACATTGCAACGTTATGTTATTAAATTATTAGATGTGGATCATGTGTATTGGGATGTCACAATCCTGTAACTGTAATTGACTTTGGACGGTGAATGTTGATCTTTCTTTGGTCATAAGTGCACGGGGTCTACCTTCTACTGAGTTTGTATTCTGCACAGGTTAGGATGTGATTAGCAACTCAGCTCTTTCCTGAGACTCTTTATTTTCTCCTTTAGGCTTTAGCTAATGTTTTAAAATAAAATCAGGGATTCGGCAATTAACACGAACGCAGGTAGTAAAACAAAGAAGAGTTAATGGGAGCACGTACCTTTCTTTTCCCAGCTTTGCTGCCTCTGCCAAACAAAATGGCTGCCCTTCTGTTGCCAGAATGTTCTTTTGAGATATCTTAGCTGAGTCGAAGCTGGAAAGTAATTCCACAAAAAAAAACCTGTGAAACAGTCTCATAATCAGGCATGATCCACAAGTTACACTTTTCATTTGGCTAATCAATAAATGGGCCATTTTGTTTGGGGATGTTTCAGGGGAATAATGCCAAAATGGCATTTCCATGGCGCCAAAATGGCCATTGTTCTGCCAGTGGGTGCAACGGAGAAATTATGAAAACTGAGAGGTATATTTTAAAAAAAAGTTTGGTGAATAATTTATCTAGAGACGGGAAAAAAGGGGACAAAATAAACATCTGTAATGCTTTGAAATGAACATACAGGATCTTGATCTTCAGGTGTACCCGAGGAGTTAGATCAGGATGTTCCATTTACTAGTTTTACCAGTTTTTCCTTTTGGCCATCTGAGACTAATAAACAAAAAGGTTTCATTTAAATGTTTAAAAGGGTGAACTCACTGAAATCACGAACACTGTGCAGAAAAACAGATAACACAAACAGTCATACTTGGAAATGCATATACAGGTCATTCTTGAGCTTTATTTTGAAGTACCCAAAATGAGTTGGACCAGTATATGTCATTTGCAAGTATTACTGATATTTTCCCCCAACTCATCCTATATTTTGAATTCGCATTCTGGCTGTGTTAATCCTTTCCAGTCATCCTCCTTAAATGTACAGCAATCAGAACAACAGGGCGATCGCTGGAGGAGCCAGACTGGGGAGCAGCACTGAATTGGCTGGCTCTTTCGAAGAGCCAAAGCAGCCAATGGGATGAATGGCCTTTATTCCTGCTGTAAGATTCTGTGAGGATTCGAGAGACTGTTTAAGTATTTAAAACAATTTTGTGAACCAACTGCGCTGGAGTAAATCCTCAGTTTCTGCCTCGAGTGGACTGTAGATCTAATTATATCAGGTCATAAAACCTGTTCAGTTTTCACTTTAGTTTATCTTGCTGCAATGCCATACTCTATAATGGAGTGATCCACTGGCAGATTACTGTCTATTGCTGGTGAGCACTTGCTAGTTAATTCAACACTTATCCCACTAGATTTGATTTGTAATCCAGGGTAGTTCATCAAGATGGAATTATTTTCTTGCCCTTGCTGGCTTCAGATGCCTCTCTCGCTCTCTCGCTCTCTCTCCAACAAATAGAGAATAAAACAGTTTTTTTTAACAGAATATAGGAGCAGAAGCAGGCCATTCAGCCCATTGAGTCTGCTCAACCCTGAAGCTTTTGATCAGGGTACCTTGGTGTGTGTCAATAAATATTGAGCAGGAAACTGGGTGAATGTTCTGCTACAAATGAGACCAACTGGGTGAAAAAAAACATCAGAAAAGAACCCTAGAGTGATCTGAATCACTGAGCAATTGTTTGCTATAAAGGCCAGTGGAATTCTCCAGAATTCCTGACTCAATGGCAGTTGAGATTGTTTCACTTTCAGGCAGGAGGGGTTTTCCACAGCAATTTGCAAAAACATTCTTTGTATAATAGATCCAAGTCATTAGCATAATAGTTCATCCAGAAACTCCATCATGCAGCTCCCTGAATATGTCCCAGTCGCAGAAACACCTCAAATGAACAATTCTGCTCTCCCAATCCTTCCAGAGGAGAGCCCTAACACACCACCTTTAGTGCTGCAACTCACCCAGACTTTTAGAATCACAAAATCCCTACAATGTGAGAACAGGCCATTCAACCCATCACCGATCCTTGGAAGGACATCCCACCCCAGACCCATCTTATCCCTGTATTTCCTATGGCCAATCCACTTAACCTACACATTCCTTGACACTATGGGGAATATCCCATGGACAATCCACCTAGCCTACACATCTTTGGACTGTGGGAGGAAACTGGAGCAAACTCCACACAGACAGTTACCTAGGGCTGGAATCGAACCTGGGTCCCCAGTGCTGTGAGGCAGCAGTGCTGACCACTGAGCCACTGTCCACACTTATTATCTTGACCGTTGTTCCTTGTTAGGGCAGTGAATATTGTCCAAGGGAAAAGATCACCTGGAGTAATACAGGGGGTTGATGCACAGTTTAAATCCAAGAACCTGGAGTGATTAATATCTACTGTTACCACAAAAAGTTGCCCCTCTTAACCACGACCCCTCTTTACCACCATGTCCATTGCCCCTGTTTTTTCTTCACCGAGGTGACTACTGACTCTTGTTTGCATCAGTTGAGTGGAAAATATTTGGGACTTCCCTGATGCTGTTTGATCTAGAAAAGTCCGAATTCTAGAAACGCAACAGGAATTGACCAAATTCTCATGAGATTCACAAATTAGGGAGGGTCTTGTTGGAATCTTCGAACTTGGACAACAGTAATATTTGACAGAATGGGTTCAATAATGAAGGTTTTATGCACTGGGTAGGAGAACAAAGCCCTGCAGCTATTCACCAAACATCAATGGAGAGATGGGGAGAGATTGTGATCTTGAGATGTGAGTAAACTTAAGCCGTGGATGGTAGGCAATATTAATACAAAAACAGAGCTAAGTTATATTGTTTGATTCGCACTTTCTTAGAGTCTGGTTCACTGAAACAGGTCCGTCGTCTGAGCAGATATAGCGGACTCTATTGTACCAAAACACAGAAACCGGCCCTTCAGTCCAACCAGTGAATGCTGACCAAGTTTCCCAAACTAAGCTAGTCCCACCTGCCTGCATTTAGCCCACAGCTCTCTGAACTGCTCCCATCCATGTATCTGACCAAAAGTCTTTTTAATGTTGTAAATGTACCTGCATCTATCACTTCCTCTGGAAGGTTATTCCACATATGAATCACCTTCTATGTGGAAAATGTTGCTTCTCCACCCTGGGTCCTTTTTATATCTTTCTCCCCGCACCTTTAAAATTATTCCCTCTAGTTTTGAACTCCTCCCATCCTAGGTAAAAGACCTTTTGCTGTTCATCTTATCTATGCCCTTCATGATTTTATGAACCTCTGCAGCATCATACCTCAACCTCCCATGCTCTGGTTGAAACAAGTCCTAGCTTATCCAATGGTCATATATAAGTTACATAATGGTTATATATAATGGCTACATTACTGGGTTAATCCAGAAACCTAGACTATTGGCCTGGGCACATCAGTTTAAGGCCCATATAGACACAACAGGGGAGTTTTAATTAATTTAATTAAATATATTTGGAACAAAAATGTTAACCTCGTCTGTTGTGATCATAAACCCACCAGATTTTTATTAGAAAAAAACCCACCGCTCTGGTTCACTAATGTCCTTTAGGGAAAGAAATCTGCCATCCTTACCTGGTCTGGCCCACATGTGACTCCAGACCTATAGCAATGGGGTGCACTCCTAACTGCCCTCTGAAGTGGACAGTCAATCCACTCAGTTGTTCATCACCATCTGCCCAAGGGCATTAGGGATGGCCAAGAAATGCCAGTGATGCTCACCTTCTGAGAATTAATTATTTGTTTTTAAAAAAACGCCATCCTAGAATTAATAAGGACAATGGCTAGGTGACTGATCCCTGTATCAGCTGATTGAGTATGGGGGAAAAAAATGTCAGCAGTAAATTAGAAAGGGGAACCTCAATGGGGTCATCCAGGATCATCCTGGGAGAGCTGACAAAATTGAGTCTGAATTCCCCCACACACCACAAGGAACAACTGGAAGGAGAACTAAAGAGATTGACAACTTTCTAAGTACCAGCGATGAAGAGGGATAAGGGGATGGTGTGGGAAAACAGCATTGACGTGAACTGGGAGACATGGCCGTACTGAATGGTGGAGCAGATTGATGGGCTCGATGACCTACTCCTACCGAAACAGTCCTTTTACTGAGCAGTTAAACGAATGTCATGAGATTTAAGGGTATTGGAATGGGAGGGCTAGTTATGGTGAGGGGGAATCAAAGACAGTTTGGTTAACAATTAAGAGCCAACCAATCCAGCAAGAGTGTACCTGTTGACTATCCAACTGGCTGTGAGAAGAATGGGGTTGTGGGAAGAGTTGGAAGGCCACATGGTGAAAACACCCAGCATGCATCTAGACAGAGTTATGGCAACTCCTTTGAACTTAGCATTAATGGTATTCATTCATTGTTCTTCATTACAGCAGCCGCACCTGCTCCAAGGGTCTTATTTGGGGTGGTGTGACCGTGTTGGCGGCCATGCTGATCGCCGGGCAGGTTGCCAGCGTTGTTTTTCTGGTGAAGCAGCAGAGCACGATAACCCGCCTGCAACAGACGACCAATCTCATCCAACAGAAATACACCTCAAACCGGAACCGATTCTGTATGTACACCGTGCCCCCTTCCCCAACTAACTGTTATCGTCTAAACCAATCTGAGGGGTGGGGGTGGGTGTGGGTGTGAGCAGAGCAACAAAGAACCAATTGGTGAATAGATTGAGGAAGACCACATCAGCAATTGTAATTTGAATTCTACCAACAGAATGATTCACAAGTCTGAGTTAAACACCACCTCCAGATGATTCCACTGGGGACTCCCATTTATGTTCAATTAGTCGCCATGGGGGGATGGTTTGTGGTGATTGTGGATGAGTTGGACTATTCTCTTTTGGAGCAGTTAGTGGTGAGGAGAGATTTAGTAGGGTTACTGATTGCTACGTTACTTTTCATGCTGTAACTAGGAAAAAACATTGGGTGCTTTGATATTACATGGTGGCCTAGTCTTTGAAACAGACCATTCATCCCAATATTTATGCTGAACATCAGCTTCTTCCTGGTTTTCTTCATCTAGCCCCATCAACGTATCCCTCTATTCCTTTATCCATCATTCGTTTATCTAATTTCCTATCAAATGCATCAACGCCATGGACCAAATTACTCCATACAGCAATGTATTCCACATCCTCACTGTTCTCTGGATAAAGTATTCCTTACTCTTTTCAGAGGGAGAAAAAAGTTCTCCTGATTTTTCTTACTCGTTTTTAATTGTGACTTCCTCACATTTGTGATGCCCCAACACCCCTTTTGGTGAGTTGAACTAACTTTGTCTACCCTACCAAACATTTTCATAATCTTCAAAACTTCCATTGGATTGTTCCTCAGTTTCTCCCTTCTGGTTGCAGATAGCCACAGGATATAAAATAGCTTCCAAAAACGCTATGGGGAGTGCGAGGAGTTGATATGACCTTGAACTCACAACCTGTGATGGTGGTGGAGTCAGATTATGTCAGAAATTTCAAAAACCAAATGGATATTGGAGAGGAATAATTTGCAAGCTTCTGAGATTAAAGTCAGAAGTCGCATGACACCAAATTTATATTGCAATGGGTTTACCTGAAATCACTAGGTTTTGGAGTGCTGTGATTTCAAATAAACCCTGTTGGACTATAACCTGGTGTCGTGTGATTTCTGACCTTGTCCACCCCAGTCCAACATCAGCACCCACACATTAGAGTTTAAAGCTGGGTGTGAGACTAGATTAGATAGTTCCCAATTGGCTGCACAGCCTCTTTCTGTTGTAAGGTTTTAGATTTTTATAATTCAAGGCTAGAACTACTGCCTGCTCTATTGTTCAATGAGATGATCACTGACCTTTTTCCTTCCCTAATCGATCCACTTTGGCTCCATAAGTCTTCTGTAATCCACCTAAAGCTTGGATTTTCAAGCTAGTGACTGCTGGAATTTGGATTAAACATATGGGACATGATCAGAATCTGCGATTCAGAATGATGACAGCCATTGTAATGTTAGTATCCTAGCTCTGAAGACTGATATGGAAAGAATAGATTGTTTCATCTGCTTTTCTGTCACTTTAAGGACAGGAGGGAGATCCTTGGAATTTTCTTCACAGTCAGAGATGTCTGTGCATTTAAATCTCACTGCCAACTAAGAGGAGGATTTTCCAACAAGTCTTTCCACAGCTTAAATGCATTATGGCACTTTGCCCATTTGAGGAAAAAAATGCTTTAATGCAGGTCAATACTTGTACACTGGTGACCAAGATTGTGGGGAGTTTACCTTTTGTAGAATAGACCCCATGATCAATCGCTACATTAATAGTGCATCAATATTATAGCATGGCATCTAGTAGTGAATTTGGATATATGAAAATATTTAAAGTCTATCTGCCAGCATGTCCTGGATTCCTTGGCAGTCTTTCTCCAGTGTTCATAAAGTTTCCAAGGAAGATTGTTCATTGGGGGCGATTTGAAATGAAAGTAGCGTGTGGGAGGTGATAAAGTTTTTCTCTGGTCTTCACAGTAGCACAATAGGGTCATGCAGAAGAACTGTTTCTGTTTTGCATCTGAAGTCCTCCTGACCTATGAGAAGGCCATGTGAAAATAGTGCGGAGTTGGGAAAGTACTGGAAAATTGATTTTCCTGCTCAAAGAAAGCAAGGTTCATCATCATCCTTCTGAACCCAATTCGCACCCCCATCGGGAGACCAATGTTCAACCCCCAATCTTCCTTTCATGTTGGCACTAAGTCGTACTAATAAAAATGCCATTCTCTTCTATTTTGTTTTTCAGCACCTAAGCCGATGATGCATGTCAAACCTATGATTTTGGACATGCCCATTGCCTACATTGACCCAAATGCAGAACGTCCAAAGGTAATGTCCAACTTAGAGAAAACCGCAAGTGCTAGTTCTAGGTTATCTCATGTGCATTTTTTTTTTATTGGATCTTGCTGTGCACAACATTGACTGTTACTTTCATGTTGGTCAAATGCAGAGACTGATCTCCAAAACCAACTTGTTGGATGAATAGATCTTCTTAGAATTCTAATTAGCTGTTGACACTTGTCTCAACAAGCTGGGAGGATGGGAGAGAAGATGGGCTCCTCCCTTTCCGTTCTGTCTCCCTCACTATGCCCAGGAACCTATCATGTTTCTTACCTATAAAAACCTCACCATATCATGGGCAGTGAAAGCTCCCAAATTCAGTGGCTGAGCTTACCTCTGCTAAAATCATTTTTGGATTTAATTCCACCAACTTGATGCTCTCCATCCCATTTTTGACGTTCAAGATTTTCAGATTGTCTCTTTGCTAATCTTGATGGTGATCATATTGACCTGGCTAAGTCTTTTTCATGGCCAGCTGAGGATTAAACCGGGAACAGCCCTGCAGTATGTACAATAGACACAGTAGGAGCTTCTGCACCTAGCTGAGAGGGCCTGGATTCAACCTGTCTCCTGAAAGGTGGCAGCTCTAGTACTTCCTCAGGACCAGAAGCAGCAATCTGAGAAAATTACTCTGTGCCAGTTAACCTTGCGGTGCCTAAAATTGACTGTAATCATGTGGACAGGACCGGAGCAAGGCATTGTGGTGCATTTTGATTTAAAAGTGCTTTATAATGGTTAGTTAAACGTGGAAGTGAACAGTCATTTTGTTTTTTTTTTCAATATTTATTTTCTAACAGACTCCGAGACCCACTCCTGCCAAACCCCTGACTGTGCTGGAACAAGTGCGGGAACTGCTGAAGGTATTGTTGAAGGGGAATCTTTTCAAAGCTGTTGTGAACCCATAAAATGCTGTTTGTAGCACAATGGGAGACCATTCAGCCCATCGTGCCCATGCCAGCTCCTGGAAAGAGCTATCTATTTAGTCCCATTCCACCAACTGCCTGCACCTGGAGCGACTGGCACATCAGATACATGGGAACACCCTCATTCCCCTGTCTTGGAGATGCATTGTTTTTCCTTCAGCGTTGATGGGCCAATCTGTTGGAACTCTGAAAGCACTTGGGATGTCTCTACATGGATGGCAGCAGTTCCAGAAGGCACCTTATCACCAACTTCTCAAGGGCATTTAAGGATGGGCAACAAAAATGTTGGCTTAGCTAGATACTCCCAGCCCATCAATGAATTGCATAAAAAGGCAATTTGAGTGTTTATGCAAAATCTTTTGAGCATTTATGATTTAATCTGCTACCACCCATTTCTGGCCATGCATTCCAGCAAGTCACTGGGTTGATAACCTCCTCTGGTCAAAGGAGACCATCCCCTGCTCTCCAATTATTTCACATAACCTGAAGCTGTTCACCTCTGACACCATATGGAACTGGCCGCAATGTCCCAACTGGAGCTGATCTACTGATTTAAAAGATTGCTGAATGACATTGTAAATGTCCAGGACTGCAGGGAAAACGAATGGTTAGTGCACAGGGGTAACAAATTGGGGAGCTCCTTCGAAGAGCTGGCCCAGGCTCAATGGACTGATTGGTTCTGTAGCATCAACTCACTCTCACATCGTGACCTAAATAGAGCACTGTTGCCTCACAGCGCAAGGGGCAGAAGAAAGATCATGGCCAATTTTCTCATGGACTCTGCTCCACTTACCTGCCTCTTCTCTATAACCCTTAAGACCTTTACTGTTCAAAAATCCATGTATCTAGCCAGAGATCAGGTTTGATTCCAGCCTTGGGCGACTTTTTTTTTTTGGTGGAATTTGCACATTCTCCACCGCCTACCCCAAACCCCTTCCAAGGTGCTCCAGCTTCCTCCCACAGTCCAAACCCGTGCAGCCTGGGGGAATCGGGCAGCTTAGCATGGCCATGGTGTCCAGGGATGTGCAGGCTAGGTGAATTGGCCACGGGAAACGCAGGGTTACAGGGATAAGGTGGGTCTGGATGGGATGCTGTTCAGAGGGTCGGTGCGGACTCAGTGGGCCCAATGGCCTCTGGCTTGCACTGTAGGAATTCCGGAATTCTAGAAAAAGGGCACAAGTTATCGAAGGCTTTGATAACTCTCAACTTTGCCATCCATGGTAAAAAGGAAGCTCGTGGACGCTGGAGCTATTTGGGTGTGGCCCGTACTTGGCTTAGTATAACTGGAATGAAGAGTTGACTGATGGGAAAATGGTCAGCCAAATGATGACATTGTCTTTGACTTTTCATTGGCAGAAAGAGAACGCAACCAACGAGATTCCAGAATTTAACAGCACTTTCTCTGCCAACCTCGACCTGCTGCGAGATAGCATGACGGAATCTGAGTGGCAGGTTAGTGTTGATGATACTGAATTATAGCACAGACACAGGCTATTTGGTCCATCTGCTCCATACTGGCTTCTACACGCTAAAAAAACTACCTGCTATAGTACATCCCTTCACCCTACTAGTCCAAACCTTCTATTCCTTTCTCCCAAGTGATATCAATAAATATTGTGCACTTATTAAAGGAAATTAACAGGTATTCATCAGGTGTCTGTCTGGCTTACCTTCTGTAATTTTCACCCCAAATACCCCCCAGTGGTAGTGAATTCCAGATTCACAACACACTTTCTCTGGTGAACAAAATAAATCCAATAAGCCGGAGAAATTTAACATGTTACACATTCACTCCTCACTTTGAATTCCTCTACAAAGTAGGAATCGGAAGAGTCCATTCAGCGCATTGGGGGCTTACCGCACAAATAAGTGATGTGCTTGATGGATTTTAGTGCCTGTGTGATGTCAGGTATATAGGCTGATGTCTCAATGACTGTTGGATGATTTCAAACAGCGCATCCCTTTGCTGCTCAAAATAGACAGACTGACAACTGTATTCAACCAGCCCATTTATTGCAAAACTCAGAACTTCATGTTAAATGCGGTTCTGTGATTGCGCAGCACTTACTGAACAAGCCTGAGTGTATTACAAATTATACTCTCAACAAATTTAACACTATCAGTCAAACTCTTAATGTGGCTTCCTTATGCTTGCTAGAAGGTACATATACTCAGACACAGGGACTTGTCCTCTCCAGGAGAAAGGAACATCTCCAAGTATTACTCCTGTTTAAAATTAAATACAACTGCCTGGGACATTAATTCCATGGTACGTTCTTCACTTGCCAACCAATAAACACTTTTTTTTTCAAATTGTATAAATTGATGTTCCCTTTGAAATTTAGCATTCTTGCATTTGCCCTGATGAGTGCGGGACAAAAAGTTTTGATGCCATTCAGCTTTTGTTTCAGTTGCACTCAAATTTAATTCCCTCACTTGTTGGCGGGTAGGGGGGGAAATCCCACAAACCGGTTCTAATGACCCGTGCCCAATTCATAAAAGCCGACAGTTGATATATCTTTGCTGTTTACAGGACTTCGAAACTTGGCTCCGAAACTGGCTCTTTTTCCAGCTTATTCAAGAGAAGATGTCTGCTCCAACCAGTGCACCCCGATACGACCCTGAACCTGAACCTGAACCTGAACCTAAACCTAGTGGTATGTGACTGTGAGACAACAAGGTGCAGGGCTGGATGAACACAGCAGGCCAAGCAGCATCATAGGAGCAGAGAGGCTGACGTTTCGGGCCTAGACCCTTCATCAGAAAAGGGGGAGGGGAAGGGGGTTCTGAAATAAATAGGGAGAGAGTGGGAGGCGGATAGAAGAGGGATAGAGGAGAGGATAGGTGGAGAGGAAACAAACAGGTCGAAGAGGCGGGGATGGAGCCAGTAAAGGTGAGTGTCGGTAGGGAGTTAGGAAGGGGATATGTCAGTCCAGGGAGGACGGACAGGTCAAGGGGGCGGGATGAGGTTGGTCGGTAGGAGATGGAGGTGCGGCTTGAGGTGGGAGGAGGGGATAGGTGGGAGGAAGAACAGGTTAGGGAGGCAGGGACGAGCTGGACTGGTTTTGGGATGCGGTAGGGGGAGGGGAGATTTTGAAGCTTGTGAAATCCACATTGATACCATTGGGCTGCAGGGTTCCCAAGCGGAATATGAGTTGCTGTTCCTGCAACCTTCGGGTGGCATCGTTGTGGCACTGCAGGAGGCCCAGGATGGACATGTCGTCTGAGGAATGGGAGGGGGAGTTGAAATGGTTCGTGACTGGGAGGTGCAGTTGTTTATTGCGAACCGAGCGTAGGTGTTCTGCAAAGTGGTCCCCGAGTCTCCGCTTGGTTTCCCTGATGTAGAGGAAGCCACACCGGGTACAGCGGATGCAGTATACCACATTGGCAGATGTGCAGGTGAACATCTGCTTGATGTGGAAAGTCTTCTTGGGGCCTGGGATGGGGGTGAGGGAGGAGGTATGGGGGCAAGTGTAGCACTTCCTGCGGTTGCACGTGCACGTGACTGTTCTGTATTTCATTCCTTGTCCTGAAGGGGGTGATCTCACAGAGCTGGCTCACCTTCAGCGTACATTGGAAAGAATGAGGGTCTTGCATTTATTTGTTTCACGTTCTAAGGGCATGCCAATGCAAGTCTTGGGCAATGGACATCTTCTGAAGTACAATCACTGTTGGTCTGCAATGTTGACCAATGATTGTAGCCTACATGAGTGACCAACCTGTTTGACAAATGGAAATTGGGATCAGTGAGCACAGGTTTTGCCCGCGGGGTCAACGCTACAACAAAAGGCTAGCACTGAAATGGCATGTGTTGCGGTGTAGTGGTAATGTCACAAAATTACTAATCCTGAGACCCAGGCTTGTACCCTGGGAACATGGAGTCAAATCCCACCACGAGAGCTGGTGGGATTTCAATTCAGTTGAAACATCTGGAATTGAAAACTAGTCATGATAAGGATCAGGTGCAGTGCACACCTATCATCTTCTCTAGTGTCCTTTTCAGGCAGGAAAGCTGCCATCCTAGCCTGGTCTGGCCTATATGTGACTCCAGGCCCACAGCAATGTGATTAACTGCTTCCCCCAACTGTTCAAATCAAAGGGCTGTTAGGGATGGGCAACAAATGCTCACTTTGGTAAGGATCACCCGAAGAAACAAATACAGGAATTTGAAGGGGTCCCAAAGACCTGTACAGTTAGTGAAGTACATTTTTAGAGTGGTCACCATGGAGACCATTAAAAATCTCAAAGAGAAAGGGGAGGCCAATATTTGTCCCTTAACCAACTTCACTTGGGGGGAGAAAAAAACAAATTATCTGCTTATTTTCTCATTTACTGTATGGCCTTTTCTTCATTGGTTGTACATTTGAAAAGGAAACATTCATAGACCATAGAACTGGAGAAAAGGTATGGTACAGAAGGGGGTCCATTCAACCCCATCGCATCAACACTGGCTAGTTATACACCTATCCATTATAATCCCACTCTCCAGCACCTGGTCTGTTGCTTTGCTGGTTCCAACACTTTGGGGCACATTCCGGGTTCCTCTGTGAATGAGGTGAGGGTCTCTGCCTCAACCACTAAACTGGGCAGTGAATTCCAGTCACCCACCCACCATCTTCCTCTCGCCCACCCTAATCCTTTTACCAGTCATCTTCAATATGTGTCCCTGCTAGGGAAAACAGGAGGAGAGAGAGGGAAAGATAGAGGTGATGACGTTTAGGGAGCCTGTTCCAGAATTTTGGTCTGGGAAGGTCGAAGTCAATCATGGAAGGAAGAAAATCAAAGATTTGCGCAAAATCAGAATCAGAAGATGGCAGTTAGATTAGGAGGGCCATAGAGCTGGGGGTTCATAGAAGGAGGGGCGAGGGCGTGGAGGGCTGGAGAGGGAGGGGCATGGAGATTGAGGGGTAGGGGTGGAGAAGGGCATGGGCACAGAGGGCCAGAGAGGGAGGGGTGAGGGCACAGAGCAGGAGGGGTGAGGCCAATGGAGAGATTTGAAGTCAAGTCTGAGAATCTTCAAGTGAGACTCCACTAAGAGCCGATAAAATTGCGTGCACTGTGGGAGGGACAGGGTGTGAATCCCATCGGTACCAAGCTGCGCTCTTCTACCAGTGATGAAAGAAGAAAGTTAGAATGATTTTGGTATGTTTGAAACCCCTTCTTTGTTCCTGTTTACAACAGAGAGAAAGATTTTCTCCAGTGTTGCGATGAAGCCAATGATGGTTAGCCTTCCAGAACCTGCAAAAGCTCCAGTATCAAAGAAAGGTAACTTTTCAAAATCCAATGTTCAGTCCAGAGCAAATACAGGTTTGGAAGGGGCTGGTCTGGGTGTGGTGAGAGTAGACCCACGCCCCATCCCAACGTGGAGATCACAGACTCAAATGGATGGACGAGAAAGTCAGGATTGGCATCATGATGTTTTGCACTTGTTCACAGTCACATTGTCCATTGTCCATGTCCATTGTCCAGAACCAGGGGGTTGCACACACAAAGGCAGAACGTTCACAACTAATCTGTGGGAACAATATTGGACCTGCTTTTAGCTCTCGTGGAAGTGAATAGATTGTGAGACTTGATGACTAAATGAGTATCTAATCTGTGGGACACGCTAAGGAGCCTGTACGATTTATTCAAATGCAATTGCACTAGGTTTCATTCAGAAAATTTTCAAGTACAGTCTCTGGGTGACTTTGAGTCATGTGTTGGTGAGGCTAACATGCTGGGAGGAACAGATGACTTTGTCTCCCTCGTGTAGGTCTCATATAGTTGATTCATTGTTACCAGTTGATATACACACACGCACGCACGCAGTTCAGAATCAATGCTCGCTCTGGTTAACATGTATATCCACTAGTAGTGTTAGAGATAACACAGTGTGGAGCTGGAGGAACACAGCAGGCCAGGCAGCATCAGAGGAGCAGGAGAGTTGACGTTTCGGGTTGGGACCCTTCTTCAGAAATGGGGCAGGGGGAAGAGAGCTGGGAAATAACTAGTGAGGAGGGGTCGGGCTGGGAAAGGTAGGTGGGATGCTGATAGGTGAGTGCAGGTAGGGAGTGGTCAGTGGGACGGGAAGGGTGGATCGGTGGGAGATAAGATGGACAGGCTGTGTCAGGTCAAGGAGGCAGAGATGAGAGAGAGGGTTAGTCATGAGATGAAGCCGAGGGTGGGGAGATTTTAAAACTGGTAAAATTCACGTTTAGGCCAGTGGGCTGTAGGCTTCCAAGGCGGAATATGAGGTGCTGTTCCTCCAGTTTGTGGGTGCGTCATGCGAGTGAGGCTTTGAACCAAAGCTCATAATGTGTACAGGGTTGGATTCACCTGAATGGTGCTGGGGATAAGTCATGTTATGTGGACAGACTTGTGACACTGGGATTACCTGCATTAGAGACAAGAAAACAAAGAAGTCTTAATTGAGATTTGCCTTTGATTAAGGAATCAATTTAAAGGAAAGATTGTTTCCTATGGCTGGTAAGTCAATCACAATGGAGTTAAGAGAAACATTTTTATCTTGAGATAGGGAGAATTTTTACCACTGGGAATTTTTTGAGGCTGGGTTGATCTTGCATCTAAGGAAAAGACAGGCAAGTACTGATGATAAAGCAGGGAGTAAAACTGGCTGTTGAGTTGGTTTAGTTTGATCAACCAGAGGACAGACAGATGGGCAGAATGGTCTCCTGTCCTTAGAGCTCAAGGTTCAACCATGAGGTTGTACAACCGCAGAGCCAAGCTGACACGAAAGGCCCTGAATCATTATTGATGAATTGGAAAAGACGACCTGGTTCCAAACAAACTCAGTCACAAAGAGTAATAGCCATTTTTTTTTTTTTTTGGAGAGAGATGATGATTAATTGTTGATGCAGACATTAATGGCAAGAGCCATCGATGAGGGTAATGGTGGACCTTTTGTCTTTGAATCCCTGCACTCTGTGAGAAATTCCTTGCGGAAGCTGAAAGTTTTGCTGAGCTACTTTCTGAGAATAGTTCCGAGTCACTGATGGTGGTATAACATGTCAGTTCAGACCAGGTAAGCACAGCAGGTTTCTCTGTTTTACGGACAACACAACAACTTCTTGGTCACTTTCACTGATCGCGTTGTTTCCACTTCAGTGTCATATTTTTGAATTGCACTCCCAACGTACAGGCTGCTATGGTGGGACTGGAAATAGAGTTGCTGACATTAGTTTTACAAACCTCTGGATAATGGGTCCAGTCATAAATACAACACAATGGTCTATTATGCAATCCTACAAACATTAGCGAAGCAATTAACCATGAACTGCCTCTAACAGCCTGTGAACTGTCTGCCATATCATAGACCCTTCCCAACCTTTTAATCTTCTCCCACAGTTAATGTGCACCCAGACTGATCACTTGGGAAGACAAATTCCATATCAATATTCTCAAGTAATCTTCTAAGGTGCGAATACAGCTTGCATTTGCATTATTTAACACTGGACTTCCATGGATTTGCAAACTATGGATTTAAAGAGCTGGCTGCAAGCTGATCTCAGAACCAAAGTGAGTGTTGGATGTTCCATTTCACCCCAGAGGCTACACTCACTGCCTTTCTCTGTTGTCAAATCTGGGACTGATCTGCTCATCCTGTACAGGGTGACAATTCCAAAGGATTGAGTCCCTTCAGGTTCTTTTGAGTGATTAAGGTACAGCTTTTCACTCATACACCTTCTCAACAGAGACAAGGTCAGAAACCACACGACACCAGGTTATAGTCCAACAGGTTTATTTGAAAACACAAGCTTTCGGAGCACTGCTTCTTTGTCAGGTGATGAAGGAGCAAGGGCTCCGAAAGCTTGTGATTTCAAATAAACCTGTTGGACTATCACCTGGTGTTGTGTGGTTTCTGACTGTGTCCACCCCAGTCCAACAGCAGCCTGGGCACTTAACAGGATCATTCATGTAAGTACGATGGCTACAAGAACAAGTCAGAAACTGGGAGTTCTGTGCTGAGTAACTCACTTCCTGACTCCCCAAAGTCTGTTACCATTGACAAGGCACAAGTCAGGAGTGGGATGGAATACTCCTTCCCAACTTGTCTGGATGGGTGCAGCTCCAACAACACCAAAGAAGCTCGGCAGCACCTAGACTGATGCAAGACACTTCATTGATATGACGTGTACTAACATTCAGTCTCTGCACCACTGATGCACAGTCGCAGCAGTGTGTACCATCTACAAGATGTACTTCAGCAACTTGCCAATATGTTTTCGATAATCTCCCAAGCTGACAAGATCATCTGGTTGGAAGGATAAGGAAAACAGGCACACGGGAACACCACGATCAGCAAGTTCCTCTCCAAGCCGCATGCCATCCTAATATGGAAATATATCACTATTCCTCCACTGCCGGCTCAAAATCCTGAACTTTCCTCCCTAACAGCATTGTGGGTTTACATACATGCCAAAGACTGCAGTAGCATAAGGAAGCATGTTCTCTCCCTCCCTCAGGGACAGGCAATAACTGCTGGCCCAGGCAGCAATGCTCACATTAGTGAATAAAATAAGGAAGTTGCCCATTTGGAGCCTGCCCAGATTTCTTGATCACCTTCTCAACAGGGAGGTCTCAAGCTAAATGGGTGATCTCGTTTCTCAATGTGCCATTTACCAACCTCTCACTCCTCCTCCAAATCCGTTCTTTTACTGGAGAACCTGCGTGAGTTAGCAGAGTTGCAAATCACATCTCCAATAACACCATCCAATTACACAGGCCTTGGAGAGAAACTTGGCAGCATCAAGTTGAACAAGGGGAATAAAAGTGGCAACAATAAAGAGCATTTACTTAATGCCTTTAACATCGTAATGTACTTCGCTGGACTGATTGACACCAAGACACACAAGGAGATAACAGAAGAAACATGGTCCAAGAAGTAGCTTTTAAGGACAAGGTTGGGGTAAGAGCTGGAGAGGTTTGGAAGAGGAATTCCAGAGTTCAGGACCTAAGGCAATTGAAGGAATGGCTGACAGTATTGGTGTAATTAAGGATACACAAGAGGTCAGACTGAGCAGGGTGTAGTAGTCTTGGCACGTTTGGAGGTTACACAGACCGGGGGAGCAGACAGACCATGATGGGGTTAAACACGAGAGGTGAGGATTTTAAAATCCTGAAAGTGGGCTACAGGCAGTGGAATGTGGGGGAAGAAAAGCATCATTTGTGATGTCAACCACTATCTTCCCTCGTTCAGTGCACAACATGGAGACTGAGTGTGAGAGACATCGCCAAGTGAAGCTTGTTCCTGGAGCTTACCGCCCCACTTGTGATGAGATGGGAAATTATGAGGCAAAGCAATGTTGGCCAAGCACAGGATTCTGCTGGTGCTCTTATCCGAATGGAACAGAGATCTTGGGAACATCCACGCGTGGGCGTTTAAGCTGCGAACGTATGTTTGAGTTTTCTTCATCTACGTGAGAGTGTGAATGTGATTTAAAAGTCCTCCGTGTCATGGGAAATGGATTCTCAGACACTGGCGGACCCTTTTGCCCATACGCATCAAGACCTGGGCAACATCCAGGCTTGTGCTGCTAAGGGGTAAATAACACTCAGACTATACAAGAACATCGAAAATAAGAGAAGCTAGGCTTCAGTCCTCCACATTCAGTAGCAATATCATCAATGAATCCCCCACTGACAACATCATAGATGTCACTAATAACCTCAAACTTAGCAGGATCGTTCATGTAAGTACAATGGCTACAAGAACAAGTCAGAAACTGGGAGTTCTGTGCTGAGTAACTCACTTCCTGACTCCCCAAAGTCTGTTACCATTTACAAGGCACAAGTCAGGAGTGGGATGGAATACTCCTTCCCAACTTGCCTGGATGGGTGCAGCTCCAACAACACCAAAGAAGCTCGGCAGCACCTAGGCTGATGCAAGACACTTCACTGATATGACGTGTACTAACGTTCAGTCTCTGCACCACCGATGCACAGTCGCAGCAGTGTGTACCATCTACAAGATGTACTTCAGCAACTTGCCAATATGTTTTCGATAATCTCCCAAGCTGACAAGATCATCTGGTTGGAAGGATAAGGACAACAGGCACACGGGAACACCACCATCAGCAAGTTCCTCTCCAAGCCACACGCCATCCTAATATGGAAATATATCACTATTCCTCCACTGCCGGCTCAAAATCCTGAACTTTCCTCCCCAACAGCATTGTGGGTTTACCTACATGCCAAAGACTGCAGTAGCGTAAGGAAGCGTGTTCTCTCCCCCCCACCTCTCTCACCCTCACAATTACGGACGGGCAAAAACTGCTGGCCCAGGCAGCAATGCTCACATTAATGAATAAAATAAGTAGAGGAAGAAGCCCATTTGGAGCCTGCCCAGATTTCTTGATCACCTGTTCATAAAAGCAATTTAGTTTCGGCCTCACTGATCCAATGGATCACCGCCATCCAAAACTTTCTCAGGGTGTTCCCAATTTCCATAACCCTTTTGTGAAGACCTTTTGCCTGATTTCACTATGAAATATGTCTGTCCAATTTACAGTCTAAGTTCTCTCATTTTAATGTTCCCCACTCCACCACCCACACCCCCCAACATCAGCATTAAGACTTTATCTTTCTTTAGCGTAACATAAGAACATAAGGAATAGGAGCAGGAGTAGGCTATCTGGCCCATTGAGCCTGTTCCACCATTCAGTAAGATTATGGCTGGCTTTTCCATGGACTCAGTTTCATATACCCACCTGCTCACTGTGACCCTTAATTCCTTTACTGTACAAAAATCTATCTATCTTTGGCTTAAAAACATTCAACGAGAGAGCCTCACTGGCATGGAATTCCACAGATTCACAACCTTTTGGGTGAAGAAGTTCCTCCTAAATCTGCCTCTCCCTTTATTGTGAGGCTATGCTCTCTCGTTCTAGTTTCACCCACCAATGGAAACAATCTCCCTGCTTCTATCTTATCTATTCCCTTCATAATTTAAAATGTTTCTATAAGATCTCCCCACCCCCTCATTCTTCTGAATCATTTTTAAACATTTCAATCATTATCAGGCCTCAGGGGAAATACAAGTTCAGTGAAGCCTAAGCGCAGGATTGCACAAGACCCAAGTATTGGAATCTGCAGGTAGCAGGAGTGAGAACTCTTGGGTATTGAGATCAGTAATTATTCGTTAGAGTTATAAATGCCGCTGCGGCACTGATAACCAATGCAGCACACCTTGAAGAAGACTTTTTAAGATGATTTGGATCTTGAATAGAATTGGATTGTCAATTCCTTTGATATTCACATTCAGGTCACTGAATTATATTAATATTCTGTCCTTCCAGATTAGAGAGGCCTGTGCGCATGTACAAGCAATATCCTATGGACTTAAAGATTTGCAAGAGTGTTATAATGTGCAAGGAGGCCCTTTGGCCCATTGTGCCTGCACTGGCTCTTCAAAGAGCAAATTAATAAAGCAGGGGCTGACAGAAAACCAGCCAAACTATTGCAACTACACAAAGGCCATACGCTATATGTAATATAGTGTAATGTACCTTGCCTAACCATTTAACTTCCTCCTACATACATGCTCCCCTATCAGAATCTACCCTTCAGTGTAATTTGCTCTGTACTCTGTGCCCTTTCGAGGATTTTACCCATTCATCTACATTCATGAGGGAAACCTCTATATCAATGTTCCTGGAATTCCAAAGGGATTCAACTCGAAAACATCCAACCCTCCTTCACTATCAAAGATTAATCTGCATAAAGTATATAAAGAATTACCTACAACAGGCTGGATTTTATTGAAGGTTTAATTAATTGTCACTTTTTTTTTAACAATTTCCTCTGCCTGTCTTTAATTGAGATTCATTTCGATCTTTAGGCTTTATAAACTAAGATGATCTGAACGTGTCTGGCTTGGCAACAAGTAAGTAAGCCATTTTTTAAAAAATCAAGTTCATGAATTAGAATTTGAACAGAACTTTCCCACATAGACACACCAAACCAAGTAGTTTCATTGTGTATAGGCTCCTCATAAACCTTCTGACCTTATCCCCTTGTCCAAAACTCTGCTGCCCACATCTCAACTTGCTCCGAGGTCCCCCTGTCAATGTCCTCTCCAATCTACGTTGGTTCCTGTTTAGACAATGGCCTAATTTAACACCCTTATTCCAGTCAATTCCACCTGCCCTTACGTGCGACTGGGATGGAGAGGTGTGAGCGGGTGTGGAAAGGGAACTGTCCTGCTTATGACTGGTGGTTCTGTTTGCAAGTATGGTCTAGACAGTAGAGTGGTGGTAGTATTGCTGAGCTGGTTGCTGCAAGGGTCGGGGGTCAGAGTTCAAATCTCACTGTGGGAGTTGCTTAAATTCAATCAAAGACTGTAGATTTAAAAGCGAGTATCAGTAAAAGTGACTGTGAAACTGTTGTGTATTACCATAAAGAGGCACCTGGTTCACTAATCCTTACCTGTTTTAGCTTGCATGTGACTCCAGATCTAAAGCAGTGTTCTCTGAAATGGCTTAGTGTGAAGGTGCATTAACGGATAAGTAACAAATCATGATTGAGTCAGCAATGCACATACCCAGGGAAAAACGTCCTCGTGAAAGTTGTGTTCAATGGAAATTAGAATATGTTTCAAACTAAATATTAAAGGGCACAGTTTTACATCAGCTTTTCTTCATTGAGTCACCGCCTTGACCTTGATTGTGTTCAAATCTCGCTCTTGAGACTTGAACACAAAATGTAAATGGATTCTGTTGGAGGTTCCAGGCGCTCTTTCAGGTGAATTTAAAATGTCCTGTCAGCACTTTTTCATACTGCTGCTGTCGTAGCCAATATTTATCTTGAATCAGTCCATCAATTTGTCCATACCAAAACCAAATTATTTGTTCATTATCCCTTTGTTGTTAAGGCATGTTTTGCCAGCCACATTTCCTACATTATAAAATAAATTGCACTTTGAAGACTTTTCATTGGGTGTAATGTGCTTTGAGATATCATAAGGCCATGAAAGGCACAAATGATGTGAAATACAAGCCTTTCTTTATTTTAAATCTTTGGAAACGTCTCACAAATGCGGGTACAAAATCCATTTGAAAGCAACAAGAAGAAAATTATTGAAATTGCAAAATGTTGCGTGGAATTTTGTAAACTCATGTAAACTTTCTCCTTAATTTCAGTGAATTAAGAGCTCGCAGTGGACAAGCAAGCAAAATCTGACTGGCTTCACTCCAGAAATTATACATTAATTGCAACTTCTGATTTTTATTAACCTTGGGTATGATTGCTAACTGTTGAGAGCTGACCTCCTTATCTGGCTGATGTACTTTCCATTTTTGTTCAAGACTTGTCCTCATTGATTTTTTTTTTTAAACAGAGAAACAAATTGCCCAAATCTTTGACATCGCTCACTTTACTTCCCTAAAAAGAGTACTATTTCCACTAGACATTCCATAGGAATATTTTGGTCCCATTTCCTTGCAGAGTGTGGTTACGACACATGATTGTGCCCAGTATCATAACCCCCTCCTCAGAAGTTTGTTCTGTTCTCCTGCCAAGTTATGGCTGGAGAACTAGAATGACATTTCACAGATTTCAAAGTCTCCTAAGCTTATCAATGAGTTACTTCAGAAATTCAAGAGACCTGGATTTTAAAATGCCACACAGGACCGATTTAATCGTGTGGATACCAAAGAATTCTAGACTGCTACAAAGGAAAATCAATAACCTTGCAGTGAAACCCCGAGATTAGTAATAGTCTTTTGGTAACACACACAACCTGGAAGAGAACCAAAAGAGGACAATGGTTTGAAGTTGGGTCTCTTCATTAGGAGGTGTTCTGTTGATGAGTTCCAACCCTACTGGCTTGTTCACCTCAATTTGAAATTAAGACCCCAATTCATTCATTTACTCTGGTTTACTACCCTAGACTAACTGCAGTGGTGGGCCTATCACCACATAGACAGCAGAAGAAGATTATCATCACGGCCGCCACCACTTCCTCAAGCGGCAACTGGGATGCTCAGTAAATGTTGGCCTTGCCAGCACCCCCCACATTTGGGTTTGTACGCAGGCAGAAACAGTAAACGTCGGCTTTGCCAGCACCCCCCACATTTGGGTTTGTAAGCGGGCAGAAACAGTAAACGTCAGCCTTGCCAGCACCCCCCACATTTGGGTTTGTAAGCGGGCTGAAACATGTTCCGTGGTAGTTTTGCTTTTTGAAGTGAAGTGATTTTTGTCCACCAGTCCATACTTTTGGGGTTCAAGGTTTGAGCCAGTTGGCGAGATATCACTTTATATTCCCAAGCCATCCTTCACCAGATCTAATTGAAGTGCCCATATTATAACTGTGTACCTATTTTGTTTTTGATTATGTAGAATATGTAGAACAGAAATAGACCATTCGGCTCAGCCAATCCATGCTGATGTTCATACTTCACTAGGCTCTTCTCCCTTATTTTCTCATCTAAATTGACCGTCATAACCCTTCTCTCTCAAAGGCTTGATAAAAGATAACAAAACGGATATAATCCTTATGAGGGACCATCAGCAGAAGGTCATTATGCACAATCACTTTTTTTTAAAGCTGGTATTGTCTGTAAGCAACTTGTGAAAACTGTTATTGCTGCCTGATTTTTTTTAATTATTATTTGTAACTCAATGGTGATCGCTTAACTGTAGATGGGGATAATTATTTTGCAATAAAGGGAGGGAATTCTGTTCTTGTGTTCTATTTTGGACAATAGAGGTGACTAGATCTGGCTTCAAATGAAAAGTTAAGTCTTTGCCTCGTTCTTGGAGCCTAGCAACAAGGCCTTAATCCTTTATCAAGGCCTATGAGTGTGAGTAGTGAATGGAAACGATTTAATGGTAGGGTTGCCAAATTTCCGGGAACCTTCAAAAATGACCAATCAATTGGCAGGACAATGCTAGTGAAGAATCATCATTGGCACATTTCAAAATAATTCTGTGTGTTGTTTCTTTCGAGCCTTTATTGGTGGAAGTGAGGGTAAAAAGCCGGTTTGGCTGATACTGGAGCCTCAGCCCAATCTTGAAGCTACGGGCCTGGTTATTTGAGACGGGTGTACAGGTTGGGTGACCATTGGCAGGAATTTCTGGATGAGGAGATGGGGATAGTAGGTCATGCGATGAAGCCTCCAGGAATATGACAAACTACCATTCACAACTCAGTTTTTCAGTGCTTTTGTCTATTTTTTTGTTTCCTGCACATTCATGTACACAGGATCAAGGCAACTATTCTAGAAAGAAAAAGTGAAATCTGAAAGGCCATGAGAATAAAGACTTGACAAAATCTGCTTGATCTTTCTTTTCTCCAACATACCATGGTACATCACAGTGAAACTCAAACACCGATGAGACTGGTGGTACAAAGGACCAATGTCTCCTCATGTCTATTGCACGCAAGTCTTTAATCACTCACGAAGACAGTTACAAAATAGATGTGCCATGTTTGTCACAACAAAGGAGAAAATGTGTAATTTCTAACAGCACACTCATCAAACCCCACAGCACGAAGGGAGAAATGTAGGGGCCAATCAAGTTGGGAATGACAGTGAGATCCATTATGTCTGTGTAATATGCCTATTTGAAAATTACCTCTTTTTCCCTGTCAATATTACTGCCACCTTCTTTTTCACATCCCTGAATCCAATTCCCTTTTGTCATAAACTCTGGAAGGAGCATTCATGTGAAAATACACCGACAGAAATTGTTTCCAATGTGAAGCCAAAGGGAGAGGCAAAACCCAAAAACGTGGGACAGGACTAAGGCTGGGAGAATGGGGACACAGAAGTGTGTGTGCTACATACAGGGACTGATAGTGACTTGATGATGTCTCTTGTACTGGGGACATCTTAAAGTGCATGCATCTTTCAATAATAATATTAAAGAGGGTGTTGTTCAGAGTTATAGAATCATACAGCACAGAAACAGACCCTTCAGTTCAACCAGTCCATGCTGAACATAATCCCAAACTGAAGAAGAACTTGCCAAATACTATGTTTATAATAGGACGTAGGACAGGCTCTTCGGCACACCATGCCTGTGCTGACCACAATGGCATTGTAAACTAATTCCATCTGCCTGCACATGGTCCATATTCCTCTATTCTCTGCTTGTCAATGTCTGTCTAAATGCCTCTTGAATGTTGCTATTATATCTGCGTCCAGCACCTCTCCTGGCAGCATGTTCCAGGTACCTACCAGCCTCTGTGTCAAAAAAAAAGTGCCTCTCACATCTTTAAACTTCCCCCCTCTTTCCTTTAATCTATGCCCCCTGGTATTTGACATTTCCACCCTGGGGAAAAGACTCTGAATATCCACCCTATCCATGTCCCTCATAATTTTATATTCTTCTGTCAGGTAGTTCCTCAGCCTCCGATGATCGAGCAAAAACAATACAAGTTTTTCCAACCTCTCCTTGTAGGTAATACAATCCAATGCAGGCAATATCCTGGTAAACCTCTTCTGCACCCTATTGAAAGCCTCCACACCCCTTCCTATAGTGTGGGGACTGGAACTGCACGCAATACTCCAAACATGGCCTAGCCAAAGTTCTCTGATAGAGAATGGAAGTTGAATGTGCAATTGTTTGCACGGAGATTCAAAACTATTCATGCAGAAACTGGAATGTGTCTTTGACTATGTGCCTATGAATGTTCTCTCACTGTGGCTGGTTTATCTCCGATTCATGCATTAGGCTAAACTTGAAAGAACCTCACATCTGTGACTACTTACATGGGATTTACAGGACATTCGACCCATCTAGTCCATGCTGGTGTTTATGCTCCACTTGAGTTCTCTCCTGCTCGACCTCACCTCACCCTATCAACGTATTCTTCTGTCCCATTTTCCTGCTTGCGATGGGACAGTTGCTAGCAGTGAGGTTCAGATCTCAAAACATCAGGCACGACAGCTTTAACAGGCCAGAGAGGTTTAAGGAATCTGAGTTCCCTGCAGAATGGAACACAGGAATTCCAAGGTGTTTTATTGATTTGCAACTTACATCGAAAATGCTATAGAACTTTTCTTTAAAAGTGGAAGATTTTTCCTGGATTAATCATTGATTTTAGCTTGATCATTGTACCTGATGATGTTTGTGTGGCTTTGCATTTTAAGGCTGTGCTGTTTTACGTTTTGAACATTCTAATGAAGATTCGCTTAAATAAATTGGTTTTTCTGCTTGTAGATGGGTTGCTGTTGGTGGATGTTATTTAGAAATGAGGGCATTAACTTAGCACACGGGTTTATACAGGATGGAATATCAGTGTTGTTGAAGAGTCTCTGGGCAATGACTTGTGTACTTACGTAGAACCTGCGTTATCACTTCCTATGGTACAGTGGTAAATCAATGTTCAGCATTTGGTGGGTTTTACGAATAATTTTGAAACCCATAGGAGCTAAGAGAATGGACCCTGATTAATGTGATCTGTAAAAGTCAGTGAAAATATTTGGATTTGTTGCAATAACATTTGGAAGGTCAGAGGAAAAGGACATGACAGTCTCTCTCCCGTGTGTGACATTACTGCTCTCACCTTTACACCAACTTTAGTTTGGTTCCTTGCTGGGATGTTAGTGTCACATGCAAGACCAGGATTTGTTGCTCCATCCCTAACTGCCCTTGATGTGGGGGAGGAGTTTGGTGAGCTACCATTGTGGACCATGTGGTCCATCTGTTCCTGAATGCTCATCTGTGCCTTGGTTACACCTAGATTCTAATGCCCCATCAGCTTCCTATTTTGCCCTTTCTGTAAACTTGATCTAATCCATATCCCTGTGGCTCGGTTTCATATTGGCTCCTGTTCACTACCACCCCCTGTGCTCACTGATCACTATTGGTTCTCTGCATGATGACCACTCAATTTTAAAATTCTCATCCTTGTTTTGCAAATACTTGCCATGGGTTCACCCTGTCCCTTTCTCTGTAATCTCCTCCAGGCCTGCAATCCCTTGAGATCCCTCTAAATCTGGCCTTTTGCTCATCTCTGAGTTTAATCCTTTCACTGTGCTTTTAGCTGCCCAGGTCACAAACTCTGGAATAATATCCTGAACCTCTTGACCTCCTACTCCTCCTTTATCATGCTTTTCAAAACCCTGCAGCTAAGGCCTGGGTCTTTCTCTGGGATTTGTTGGCGGCACGGAATTGTTCATGGAAACTGATTTCTAAAAGAGACTGCATTAACGTTGGAGGGGGAGGGGTGGTTGGAATCTGTGGAGTGAGTTATGATAGGAGTCAGAGAAGGAGACCCAAGGAGTAGTGACATTGTCCCCATTTCCTCATCACTATCTCAAAATCTGCGCCTGGCAGTAAAGTAAATTGGAGAGACCACTCTTTACCGAGAACTCAAAGATTTCTACAGATTTCAACTCAAATTAAAAATCAACAATTAAATGACCGCGGTCTCAACTTAAAATCTAACATCTTAAGAACTCCAAGGACTTTGAAACTGTTTGTAACCTTACATTTCCTGTCAGCACATGGTACTTCTCCATTCTACACATCACCTGGGTTTGTGTCTGTTCATTGTCAAGTTTTATTATTTTTCTTAAGGTTAGTCAATAATAAGATTCCTCCTTCTTGTACTCAAGAAAACATAAATATTTACAACTGATTTGTGAAAATTGAAGTGTAATAGCTGCGTGCTTAAATAAAAATCTTTGTTGTGATTGTTCGAGAGGGAGCAGAAAAAAGCAAGTTGATTTAGCCCTGCTTACCTGGGCTGACATACATGTGACTCCAGTCCCGCCCAGCTCTAAAATGGCTGAGCAAACCACTCAGTTAAGACCATTAGACAGGAACAGAAATAAGCCTATTGTGTCTGTGTTGTCATCGCGTATGATGTAACCATCCTCCACACTACTTCCCTGCCTTAACTCTTAATTCTCTTACTGGTTAAAAATCTGTCTGTCTCAGCCTTGAATATTCTTAATGACCCAGCCTTGTCAGCCCTCTGTGGTAAAGACTTCCACAGATTCACTACCATCTGAGAGAAGAAATGCCTTCTCCTCTTTGTCTTAAATGAGCGTGCCCTTAATCTGAGATTATGCCCTCTGGTCCTAGGCTCTCCTATGAGGGGAAACAACATTTTCACATCTACCTTGTCAAGTTCTCTAAGAATTGTGAATGTTTCAATAAGGTCACCTCTCATTCTATACTCCAACGAGTGCAAGCCCAATCTAGTCAACCTCTCCTCGGAAGACAGTCCTTCCATACCTGGTATCAGCCAAGTGAACCTTCCTCTAGAGTGCCTCCAATACTGGTCTACCTTTCCTCAGATAAGGGGCTGAAAACTGTTCATGGTATTCTAGCTCTGGGTTGATTAGTGCCGTGTACAGTTTTCATAAGACCTCCCTGTTTTTATATTCCATTCTCATCAAAATAAAGGCTAAACTTCCATTTGCCTTTCCCGCTATTTGCTGAACTTAGATGCTAGATTTTTGTGATTTAAGCATGAGTCTTTTGTGCTGCAGCTTTCTGCAGTCCTTCCACATTTAAATAATATTCAATTCCTCAATTCTTCCTGGAAAAGTGCATAACCTCACATTTTCCCACATTATATTCCATCTGCCCAGGTTTTGCCACTCACTTGATTTGTCTCTATCCCTCTGAAGACTCTATATATTATCCTCACCACTAGCCTTCCCACCTATCATTGTGTCTTCCATAAACCTGGCTATAGTACATTCACTTTCCTCATCCAAGTTATTTCCATGTATTGTCAATAATTGTAACCCCAGCACATTGAAGATACTCTCCATCATGGCATTACCATCATGCTAAATGGGATAGATTTCAAACAAATGTAGAAATTGAAGACTGGGTGTCCATGAGGCGCCCAAAAAGCAGGACAAGTCCAAACCAGCCAATTACTGCCCCATCAGTGTACTATCGATCATCAGTAAAGTGATGGAAGGTGTCACTAACAGTGCTATCAAGCAGCACCTGCTCAGCAATAACCTGCTCAGCGATGCCCAGTTTGGGTTCTGCCAGGGCCGCTCAGCTCCTGACCTCATTACAGCCTTGGTTCAAACATGGACAAAAGAGCTGAATTCCCAAGGTGAGGTGAGAGTGACAGCCCTTGACATCAAGGCTGCATTCAACTGAGTATGGTAACAAAGAGCCCCAGCAAAAGTGGAATCAATGGTAATCAGGGGGCAAACTCTCTGCTGGTTGGAGTCATACCTGACACGTAGGAAGATGGTCGTGGTTGTGCGAGGTCAGTCATCTCAGCTCCAGGACATCTCTGCAGGAGTTCCTCAGGGTAATGTCCTAGGCCCAACCATCTTCAGCTGCTTCATCAATGACCTTCCCTCCATCATAAGGTCAGAAATGGGAATGTTCACTGATGATTGCACAATGTTCAGCACCATTTGCAACTCCTCAGATCCTGAAGCAGTCTGTGTTCACAATTGAAAGACTTCAACAACGTTCAGAGTTAGATTATTAAGAGAGAAGTAACATTCATTCCACACAAGTCCTAGACCATCTCCAACAAAGGAGAATCCAACCATCACCTCTTGACGTTCGATAACATTATCACTATCAACATCCTGCGGTTTACCATTGAACTGAACTACAACAGCCATACAAACATTGTGGTTTCAACAGCAGGTCAGAGGTTAGGAATCGTGCAGTGAATAACTTATCTTCCGACTTCTGAAAGCCAGCCTTGTCTAGAAGACATAAGACAGGTGTGTGATGGAATAATCCCCACTTACCTGATGAGTGCAGCCAATAATCAAGACGCTCAAAAGCATCCACAACAGACCAACCTGTTTGATTGCACCTTATCTCCAGCAGCACCAATGGTTAATAGCAGCGGTCTATACTGTCAACACAATGCACTACAAACAATTCATCACTGTTCTTTAGACAGCACCTTCCAACACTGTAACCACTACCATCTAGAAGGACAAGGGCAGAAGGTGAATGGGAACACCCCCAACCTGCAAATTCCCCTCCAAGCCACTCACCATTCTGTCTTGGATATATATATATATCACTGTTCCTTTAATGTCGCTGGGTCAAAATCCTGGAACACCTCCCTAACAACATTGTGATTGTGCTTATTCCCCATGGACTGTTGTGGTTCAAGAAAGGAACTCACCACCAACTTCTCAAAGACATTTGTGAAAGGATGATAAATGCTGCCCATGTCCTGTGAATCCTGTCATTTTTAAATATGTAAAATTGGAATTTCAGTTCAGGTAAGTCCATGTTAGTTTACATTAGTTTCCAGAACTTGCCTTAATCTGTGGTCAGGTGATTTCTACAGCCGCCCAGGGTCAGTGTTTACCCCTTTAAAGCCATTTTACTTTATGAAAGGCCTCCAATATTAGAATCAGAATAGAAATTGAAAATTGAAGTTGAAAATCTATATTTTCTATCACTATTGTGATTCCTCCATACCCCAAAGAAAAATTACACACAATATTTCTCCTTTTTGTTTACAATGTCAACACGAAGTGTGTAAAAACTGTGCCTTCTAGTGATTGTTAAAAGTGTGGACTGAAATAAGAAAGAATTGTTTCAAAACCAATATTTTGAAGGAATGTCTGTGTAGTAATTGGAACCAGGGCCAAGTGGATCCTATTGACTGTGAGATCCCTGATTCAGGTTGTTAACCCGGGCCAATCAGGGAGCTCTGGCTGACAGATATAAACAGGAGGTTCAGAAGGTCTCCTTAGTTGAGGGACTGGCTTTGAGCTGACTGGTCAGGGCCATGTGCTGTGCATGTATAAATACAGGGTGAATTTGTTGACAGGATAATGGCCTCTCTGTTGTTACTTCAGTCTGCAAAACAAGTTACCTGACACTCAGGGTAAGCATCCTGTAAATAGCTATCTCAAGCATTCCTTGGATTTTTTCTTGCCTTTGGTTATGATCACATGTCGAACTCCTTCCTTTTTAACTCCTTTTGGTTCTATCCTGACCCTTTCTAACACTACTGGCCTGTCCTACGCCTATTTAATTCCCTGACCCACCACAAACCTGACAGTGTTGATTGCTCTCTGTGGGGCTTCCAAACCTCTTAATGCCCAGCTTTCCGCCTCTGAAAGCTGGTGGTTTTCCCCAGCCTTTCCAGTCTCTATGAACTATCCCTTTGTATTTGAGAAAATTATCGTGCTGGCAGTAAAATCACTATTGCCCTAATGGAGATAACAAGGTGCAGAGCTGGATGAACACA